CCCCCCAAAAAAAAACCCCACTGAGACATGGCAAAATGTTTCATTGTAATATTATGACAAGGGATAGCATTGATCACAAAGGGTAGCAAATCATATGAGGCTTCTGAAATTAGAAATGCTGAAACTGTATCTATCCACATGTGGAAGTGAAGCTTTAAATGCTCAAAATAATATATGGCAAGCTCTTTTCTTCCAGAAGCTACAAGTCATCTTATTCCTTTTTTTCTCCGAGTTCGCTTGGCAGATATTTGCCTCTCCAGATGTGCAGGTCATCGTCAGACATTGAAAGGCAAACTATTAGTAATTACACAGCAGGGGTTTCTCCATTTGTGGACCCATGCTATGGAGATAAGGAGCAGAAGGCAGAGACTTTACAATAAATATGTTAGGGAGCGTGGTGAAATCAAGCGCTCGTCAAAATACAGAAATCGGGAGAAATAGGCACTTTTCAGAAAGTTTGAAAATTGTAGTCAAATTTTTATTTTTGAGCTCAACCTCTTTTATGTCCGTATAAAAACACATTTCTTAGTGAATTTTATTGAAAAACATTGATTAAAGACACAAAATATTTCATTTTTCTGTTTTCAAGGATTCTTTCACTATTGGAGTTACCAAACTTTGGCGGCCAATTTCTTGTTAATTTCACTACTGTAACCAGGTGCACTCACTTCCTTCAATTGCAATTGTCTTGACTTCTATTTAAGATAGATGGATGTTTATTCCATTGAAAGCAAGGCAAATAAATCAGCTTTCCGATGATAGGCCTACCAATTACTCCTCATGCACAAAAATTGATGAGCGCCTGATTCCACAGCATCGTGACACACATAAATATATCAAACATAGCACTGAAACTTGCAACACAAGAAACCTTTTTGGTCCAAAATCCAACTCTGCTCTTGTTTAGGTTCGAGCTCTGCTCTGTTCTTTCTCAACCTTACATTAGTCACACACACCCTCATTTAATAAAAGGATGTGCATTGTGTCCATGCATTTCTCTTGACCTTTTTTAACCTGTCTGTCAACATCAGCCATTGTGATGCAGTCAGGAACGATTGGCAAACTACTTGTGGTATTGTGACAAAAGTCGCTTCGGTGGTCTAGTAATAGTAGATAGGCTCTCGGACTCTCAACCGTAAGGTCAGGGGTTCGCATCGCAAGAGGAGCCGCAAACTGTGTCCTTGGGAAAGGCACTTTACAAACACAAATTTTCCTCACTTGACCCATGTGGGAAAGGGTACCTGGCTATAGACAGCAAAATATCTTGTGCACCGGTACCCTGATTCTCAAAGACGTATTAAACACGTTTTTTTTAAACACTAAATGGCAGCTATGCCTATAAAATATGTGTAGTGATTAACCCTTATACAGTCTGTGCCGGCTTTAAGCACGCCGGCCTTAAGCACGTTTCGGACTCAAGCACGCTAAACGGCTCTAACCGAATTTTTGCTATATAAATGACACGCCTTTAAGCTCGGTAACTTCGGCTTCAAGCACGCTTCATTTACAAGACAGTCAATATTTTCATGATGACCCATCGAAGTTTGAACACAGTCTACACCGCAGCAGTGGAGTGTGTCAAGAGAAACGCAAAGAACGCAAGTGATGGACACACACACTCACACGGGCGGAGAGGAAGGTAGAGAGGTGCACACAGCCGTGCACGCAGACATAGGATCTAGCCTAGGCCTAGGGCAAAGCTACAAACGACAAAAAAAAAATACAAAGAGAGTAGGGGAGACGAGAAAGGGAGGCTGGCTGCGATTTCACCTTTGACCCTCGCTATCCATTAATCCTGATTGTGTATCACGTGCGAGGTGGGATGAAGGCGGTGGTATGAGTGGCACAGCGGGCAGTGGTACGCACAGGCAGTGTGTTACAGTAGGCCTAGTGTGCTGTATCGTGACTAGCTGTCTAAATTAAGTTTTCATTTCCCATTCGACCTCAAAACAAAAACAAACAAGCGAACAAAAACTACCATGGCGGGTGTCTAAATAACAGCACACTTTTGCGGGACCGCTATAGGCCTACTCACAAACAAAGGGAAATAGCACGGGGAATTTTCTACATGAAAATCTCTGGATTATGTCTACTTCGCACTTAAGCACGCTTCGGCTTTAAGCACACTTAAGCTTTCTCCCGATGACCGTGCTTAAAGCCGGCATGGACTGTACTTGTGCACCCCATAGCCTGGCAATGTTACAGAACTACCAATACTACCATGCAGGAAGAACTCGAGCTTGGAAGGTACTATTGGAAGAGATCCTACTTTTTGTTGCCCCTATTACCTGTCTGTTCATGATCTTGCTTTCTTGAAATTGAAAGCACTGAGAAATTAAATCTAACACACAGAAAACTCAAGAAAATCACACTGAAGAGTTCAGTGACAAACAAGACGGTTTCTACCTTGATCAACAACTGCCAGGCTCTCATAAAAAAATAATGGAGAGATCTAAAATACACAAAGGTCAGCATGGTCTGCTTTTCCTTTTTAAATTTTAAAAAGAGGCACTGCTCTGCCAAATATTGCCATCAATTTGTAAACGAAAAATGTGAACAGTGACTTCTGGTCATGGACACTCAAAACTCCTAACAATCTGTGTCTACTGGGTTTCATGGGACAAGCTATCACTGAGATAAAAATTAAGATAGAACAACATCAAATAAAGCCGATGATAATGTTTGCACAAAATGTATTCAGACTAAAATCCCATGCATTCCACAACGATCAATATAAACAGGAGTTTCAGATTGAGGTAAATGGGGAGCAAAGACAACTTTGAGCATCCTGTATGTTCTTAGACCACTCGCTTCTTTAACACGTACATTGTCGCTCTCCCTTAAAAAATGTTCTACACTGGGAACTGGTTTTGAAAGCATGAATCTGCAGGTAACTTGATTCGCCCAAGCAAGTCCAAGAGCAGGAGTCACAGCATTACTGCAATTACCCTGGGACATGTCACTGGAAACCTGTCGAAAAAAATGCGAAACAAAACATATTTGTATTCAGTTCGGAAACACAAAACAATGATATCTGGCTGCTGAAAGTAATGCAATGCATGGTTCACCTCTCTCCCCACTGATCAGTTAAGACCACCTTCATGAACAGTCAAAGGCTTTTACTTTTAACAATCCAACTTGGAACTGGAACAATACCTGTGGTTGGCTATAACAAAGATCTAATCTTTTTTCTAGGACTATTGACACTTGTGATTTGAATGTGAAAATAAGAAATGTGTAGTGTAAAACAAACAAGCAATGATCAATTGGAGGGGAGGAGGGGAGGGGGGGGGGAAGGGAAGCTGAGGATGTCAACACAGAGATAAATTACAGTCAAACCTCATTATACACCCACCCTTGGGACGAGCATGAAGTTGATGGTTCCCTCTGTTAAATAGTCCCAACTGCCTAACGACACTAACGTCAAGTGAAATGACTCTGCAGTGTGATCTGCATTTAAAATGTGTCTTTTTTTGGTGATATCATGTATGTATTCAAATCAGAGAGTCTTCCTTCTCTCTCTCTCTGTGTGTGTACACATTCAAATTTCAAACCTAGCTGAACATGGAACTAATAATAGACCTGTGAATAGGGGCATAATGAAGCTGGGGTCAGATACTGCACTACATAGAAACTCAAATATTGGTACAGTGGAATCCTGTTATATTACGAGAGGGAGGGGACCGGTGCGAAATGTCCGTTAAGTTATAGCAGGATTCTCGTTATAAGGAATCCAGTCATAAACTCAAGGGAAATGATGATGTAGGCCCAATCTATGATGAGTTCGGTGTTCTGTTTGTATCTTTTTATTATCTCCCCTGATGATGATTTTGTTCAACGTGACCGCTAGGTCTTACTTGATCAAAAATCGAATCAGGTGTCTTTCTCTAACACTAGCGATGTTGACAGCTTGGCGTTGGCAATCAGAAGGAAAGGGTTCTAGTTCTACTCTAGGCCAACTCGCCCGCTGTGTTGTCCCCCACCCCCACCACACTCTGTGGAGCGTTCTGTCTGCTTGTACACATTGGGTACACCCCAAACCCTGCCCACGTCACATTCTAATTCCATCCATCACAGCATTGTGACCTCTCCATTCTTGCATCAGAGAAGTGAGAGGTATGCTAGGCTAGGCTGGCCTATCACGCAATACGTTATGCTTGTCTGTGCATGCCATACCCTCCCTACTCAGTCACTCCGGCCTTCATTGTTGACACAGGTGGGCTCTCCCATACTTTGTTTTCCTAGATAACCAACAAGTTTCTCAACTGGCGAGATTTTACATTATGTATAATTGGCCTATGCCCTGAGCACAGCAGCAGCAATATTCCGCTATAACTGACTTGCGTGTTTGTCTGATTGCGCTATAGCAGTATTTTATTTACAAAGATAAAGAAGGGAAAAAAACAGGGTTTTAGATCAGAGTCTTTATAACAGGCTTCTCGTTATTTCAGGACTCGTCATAAGTGGACTCCACTGTACGAAAAACTCTGACTCAATGAAAAGTTGGGCTCAACGAAAGTTGGATTCCCTGTTTTTCCATTATTCATGGCAATCAACAAAATACAGTAGAACACGGCTATAGCGGGACTTTTGGTTCCAGAAGAAAAATCCCGCTGTAGGCAAGTTCCCGCTATAGGAATGCAAAGGGGAAATTACCGGCAATTTTTTAAAATTCCACATGATTACATCCCTTTCATATCAATAAAATTTGCGCTTTAGATTAGTCTTTCTTTTCTTGTCAACTTCGTTTAATTCGAGTGAAAAGCATTTCCTTTAGTCTTTGTTGCAAGCAATATTTTCATCGGTTTGTAGCTTGTGCTGTTATGCCTACTGTAGAAGTAGAACTGGTGAAGTGAATGCGTACGTATGCTTGAGCATCAATGATCGCAATTCAATGAATCAGGAATCACACACTACATGCTCTCCTCTTCTTTTACTTTTTGGTCTAGCCTAGGGCTAGGGCTATTATTACAGATTTACATCATGTTTGGAGTGGTTCACATAACGCGCCTCTCCGCACCATCTCTCTCTTCGCACCATCTCACTCTAGGCCTACCGCCCGCTCCACCTTACTCATCCCTGGACTAGCCAATCACAACGCCGACTGCCTGTTTGGATTTGGAGCCCGCCTACAACCCCCCACCCCTCCCTGCTAGACCTAGCTTGATCTCTCCTGCTGTATCTGAGTTCGGGACTTTCCTTGTCCCACTGTAGTATATCCAAGCATAAGTAATTGAGTTTACATAGGAAGAAAAACGGGGATTCCGGTAAGGTCCCACTGTAGTATATCCAAGCATAAGTAATTGAGTTTACATAGGAAGAAAAACGGGGATTCCGGTAAGGTCCCACTGTAGTATATCCAAGCATAAGTAATTGAGTTTACATAGGAAGAAAAACGGGGATTCCGGTAAGGTCCCACTGTAGTATATCCAAGCATAAGCAATTGAGTTTACATAGGAAGAAAAACGGGGATTCCGGTAAGGTCCCTCTGTAGTATATCCAAGCATAAGTAATTGAGTTTACATAGGAAGAAAAACGGGGATTCCGGTAAGGTCCCACTGTAGTATATCCAAGCATAAGTAATTGAGTTAACATAGGAAGAAAAACGGGGATTCCGGTAAGGTCCCACTATAGTATATCCAAGCATAAGTAATTGAGTTTACATAGGAAGAAAAACGGGGATTCCGGTAAGGTCCCACTGTAGGGATGGTCCCGCTAGAGTCATGTTCTACTGTACTTTGTATTCGTGAAGAGTAATTTCAGGCTTGACTCAACAGAATTGTTTGCAGACAAAAACAACCCTCGTTGATGTAACTTAGTGCATTTTTCTTGCACAACAAACCTTTGTTCCAGGGAACCATCGGTCCCCTGCACTGTGGGATGGTGGCCAGGCCAGCACTGTGTAAATGTGGTAGGGGTGTGTGGATGTGTGCGTGTATGTGTGTGTGCGTGGGGGGGGGGGGGAGAAGAGACAACAGCGTGGCATGGACTGTCACCGGAGATGTCGTCATAAACTTTTTCAAGGCTTCTGAACAGTATTAGACAAAGATCCACATAATGGTCTGCAGGCAAGTCTGTAGAATAAAACATCCGATAGGTTTCATCAAAACAAACCCAACAGTGTATTAGGAAAATTGCGGCAAACTATCTATCACATGACTCAAACCATGGTTTGCTCCTTCTTTCCTGTCAAACATCTGTAGTCTTAATCTCTCTTCCTTTTTAATGTTTGTTATTCTCCTACTTGTAACACCTCAAATCTTCTGCACTTATGACCTAATTGTGTACCAAGTGCCGTAAAACACTTGCAAAAACAAACAACTGATTCGCACCAATGTGCATATATATCTAAGTGAAACATGCTTTTACACAGCGTGTGTTTCGGCAGTCCACTGTATGCAGTAGCACTGTGATAGTTTAGTTTTCAATTTTAGTTTAGCCCAAAAGTGGGACATGCCTGTTTTTGTAGCAAAGAGAAGAAAATTAAAGTAGGCCTATACAGTGGTGACCACTTTTAACGAGTCCTGAAATAACAGGAAGTCTGTTATAAAGACACTATTCTAAGAGCCCGTTTTGTTTCCTTCTTTATCTTTGTAAATAAAATACTGATATAGCACAATCAGACAAACACGTGAGTCAGTTGTAGCGGAATATTGCTGCTGCTGTGCACAGCGCATAGGCCAATTATACATTCACCAGCTGAGAAACTAGTTGGTGATCTAGAGAAACAAAGAATGGGAGAGCCCACGGGTGCCAACAATGAAGGCTGGAGCAAATGAGTGAGGAGGGTGTGGCATGCTCAGACAAGCAGAATACATCGCATGATAGGCCAGTCTAGTCTAGATTATCTAGGCCTACCATGCCTACAGTGCTGTGATGGATGGAGCGAATGTGTGACAAGGGCAGGGTGGGGTTTGTACCCAGTGAGCCCAACAGACACAATGCACCACAGGGCGTGGTGGGGTGGGAGAGAACACAGCGGGCGAGTTAGCCTAGAGACCTTTCTTTCTGATAGTCAACGCCGAGCTGTCAACATCGCTAGCGTTAGAGAAAGAAACGTGACTCAATTTTTTATCAAGTAAGTAAGACAGAGAGGTCATCTTGAACAAAATCATCATCAGGGATGATAACAAAAAGAAATTAACAGAACACCAAACTCATAGATTATGCCTACTTTATTATTTCCCTTGAATTTATTACTGGATCCCTTATAACGTGAATCCTGCTATATTCCCCTCCCTCTCATTATAACAGGACTCCACTGAACTGTAATTTTCTTTTCGCAAATATTTATACTAATCATCATGAAGATCGATTTCCTTATGGTTCCATGAAACTCACAAATCACAAAGTCATCGGGCCCAACCTTAATGTTTGTTGAATCCGAGTGATTGTTATTAGAAAGATTTGACCAATGAGAGCACTTTTTTGTATCAGTACCGAAATGGACTTGCGCAAGATTCACCTTTCAGAGTTTTTTTTTTTTCGTGTGATCCCCACCAGAGCTTAGAGGAGCTTTATCAGGATCTTCAAGAACAGGTGTTCATTATCTCTTCAGTTTACATGTTTCTTGGTTCACGGCTGCTCAAAGGCATCTGTGGTGTCGCAATTAGGTGCTACAGTGTCACATGTAGGAGACCCAAATTCAATATCCGAGTGGAGAAATTTTTTTATTGTGTATCTCAGTCTTTCTGATGGGATGTTGTATCCCTCTCGGCTCAGGTTGGCCCTGACGGGCAGGTCAGAAGCCTGCCTCCTAAATGATCAAAATTGGTCAATGTTTTGATTGAAAGCTTTAAATCAGCAATAAAAGACATTGGAAAGGTACCGTACTGCATAAAAAAGTAAGCCACCTTGAAACACTTCAGAGCAGTCTCATGATAAGCAATTTCATGGCAAACTCAGAATGCCAGTGCTGTTGTCAAGGGCCTAATTTTAAAAAATGTGATAAAGAAAGTGCAACTTAAAGCACAAAGCCCACCTGATTTACACAAACAATTGGAATGTTGTGGTCTGCAGCAAGTCTCCGTAATAGAGATGAGAAGCCGTTTAAATGCTTTGCCCTTTCCACTGTCTGAGAGACATCGTACTGACATCGGAACAGGGCAGTAACTGAATCTATTACAACCAGTCGCACTGATCTCTGGCGAAGAAGCACTGGCAATTTGTACTTCACACAGCTGTCGAGTGTCTCCTGAGTTTTGCAACAACAACAACAACAAAAAAAGATGTCTCATGAGCACAATTTAGAAAGCAGACACATGTAAACAGCAAATCAATACTCAACATCAAGTAATTAAAGTGTAAAATATAATAAATGGCTGACTTTTCTTCGTTTTGACTCTTTGTGAGTATGTAAGTGTAAGCCTGCTACCTGTAAAGAGAACTTCATTTCCACCTCCACATGCTGAAAAGTAAGATGAAACCAATAACTGACTCATGGTATACTCTGAAATAAACAAGGTAACTTTGTAGCCAGTTCTTCACTCAGTATGCTCTCCTACGAGGATATAATATATACTTCTCCCTCTGTGTGAGAATACACAAGATTAACTTAATAAAAAGAAGAGATTTTATCAGACTGTACTCACATTAAGTTTTAAATCATAAATTCAGTATGTACATCTCATTGTATCAACCTTTTAATGATGACTTTTTCAGAACAAACAGATTTATTGTTATTCATTAATGTATGAAAGATGACACTATAACTTTATTTCTGCGAAGGCTTTATTTCAAAACCGAATTACTAAACAAAACATTTTATTAGTTCAAGTGACAAAACATCAGGAAATTAATTAAAATTAATTTATAAAATATATACACTTCATAAGGGTTTGACACTGAATGATCACATTTTCAAATAATAGTGTTTTTCTCTAGTAAATTCAAAGTATACATATATATACATATATATTTCACATTTAAATATGTGCTTCTCGGAAAACTTCAGATAATTTAATTTTACAATTAATGTTGTGAACATTATTTTCAAAATTTCTTTTCAAACACAAGAGCAAAACAATTAGACGTTCTTTCCGTCAAGACAGGGGTAGATCTTTCTTTCTCTTTATCTTATGACGACATGAGAGAACTCTGAGTTTTTCTAAACTTACAAAGTCTGCCACATGTTCAACGAATATGTGATCCCCAAACTTCCTGTCTGACTCTGAACTGGAATTATGTTTAATGATCTCCTGAAGACGTCTGCTGGGAAATGCATCTTCTGTACATATGTACACAGCACCTGGAGAATACAAAGGAAAAAGAGCATTGATCTAGTACGATCATGTTGCCCACTTACCCAAAGAGCATGTGTGGCCAAATATATATATGTGAGGCATGCTGACTAAATAAGTTACTTCTCGCAATCTACAAAAATGGAGATATTGGCCAAAAATCGACACAATGGTTAAATTTGTAGATTTTCTATTGATGTCATATTCTATAATTAAGTATAACATGCCTTTTGTTATTTCATACTTATATAATTGTAAAAACTTCACCAATAAATGTGATGTACCTGTATCAATTTCTATATTAGGCTTAAATCCGAGAAGTAACTCATTTTGTCAGCACGTTTCACAATATAGCTGATCAGGTGCATGACAGCTTTCACACAAAGGTCTCTTTTTCGATTGACAACACTGTGCTGAACTGTGGATGTATACCCAGAACACCTGAGCACCTTTGAGAAAGTTCTATTATGTATCAAGTTTGTGATAGCCACTTTAATTTTTTTTTTTTAAATCGTAGAGGGTTTTACGGCACTCGCAACTGCATAAGGTTATATGAGCACCAAGGGGTGGGTGTCAACAGAGAAGTCTTTACAGGGAATCAGACTTACATTGCTCACCTCTCTAGCTTCTACTGCTCAAGGTCTGCTTCGACTACCAAGGCACCCCGAAAATAGCAGGTCACAAGAGTGTGACAAACATACAAAAGAAGTTGAGGAAAATGACAATAGTAAGGATTAGGAAAGAAAAAGCAGCAGATCCCTGTTGTAGATCAGGCACAGTTATGAGCGTGACATGAATCAGCCCATTTACAATTCTACTGTGCTTGAACGAGAAATGTCCCCCCCTTTGGGAATGGCCTAAAGACACTACAGTCAGTGGCATTGCCCTGGGGGGTATAGCCACTCTGGACTCGAATTCAGACACAACCTGAAAAAGAGCCTGATAAAAAGCACTTTGTGTAAATATTTTTAATATTCACTTTCCGGGGAGATATTAGTACAAATATCAGCTCCTACAACTAAAATTTTAAGTGTAATTTGCGTAAACCTTCAAAATAATATGTAAGGGACTTTCACAGCTTAAAAATTAGAAAACTCATTATATCATACTATTAGCTGCCAACTTTTTAAAACTAAAAAAACCAGACTCTACATATATACATGATAGGTCGAGAAAGTAGGCATTAGACAGTAACCCCCCCCCCCCCCCTCCCCTCTCCAAATCTTCCCACACATTTTTCTGTGTGCAAAAATTCAAACTATTCAAAGCAAATCTGCAAAAATAATGTAAGAAATTTTTATTCAAAGTCTCTCCAACTGACTTATATAATGGGTGTCCCTCTCATTATTATAATACCGCGTTGCTAAAGTTCTGTCACACCCACTTTAAAGTACAACTAGCTGGGCTCCCTTTCGATGAAAGGAATTATTGGTGCATTAACGTCAGCCGAAAGTCATTGGCTTATGATATTTACATTCTACCGGAATGGAGCAAATCTTGAGAGATGCAAAAATTAGAAGGTTTAGATCTCTTATCTCAAAACAGTGCCCACGTTTAGTGAACGGAAACCTCCTTTTCTAAAATTACAGAGACAGAAGCGTCCGCCAACAAAAGCGATCGGCGAAATAAAGAAATTTAGTTTTTAGCAGCAAAACTGTCTCGAAAATGAAAAAACGAAGGGCGTCAATGGCGTCATGATCTGGAGAATACTTTAAAGAATCTTTTGTCGAAAACCACATGTCGATCGATGCAGCCATTAAAAAGCCTTTTGAATAGCAAAATTCGGCCACCACAAATAGATAATAGATAACTTATTTACTATTCAACATAGCAAAGAGAAATTTGGTACACACGATCTTTATTCATTTTCTGCCAACATGACAAGAAAAGAATTGACAAATGTCTTTCCTTATTCAAGGGAGATAATTTTATTCACACTGACCCTTGCAAAATCCAAATCAAAGTTTGCTCAGTATCGTGAGTGGCCTTTTCCAGCTTGAATTACTGATATAAAACGTCTGTTCATTGACTGAATTAAGGTCCTAATGGTTGTCTGAAGAATCCCCTGCCATTCCTTGTGAAGTGCACTGTTTAGTTCCTGACAAGTTTATACAGAGTGTGGCCTGTTTCTAATCCTCCAGTCAAGGTCATCTTTCTGATGTTCTTTTTTTTTAGTGGTAAATGTTTTACAGCGCTCGCAACTGCATAAGGTCATATGAGTGCACGGGAAACATTAAACTTTTTCTGTTGGAAGGAAATTTTGAATTTTGCTCGGGTGGCAGCCGAAGCCTACTCTTATCGATTTTAGTCCATCAAGGGATCTTTAACATGCGCAACTTGCACACGGGCCCTCTGAGATTTTTCGCCCTTGTCCGAGAAGGCTTGATGTAGATCTTTCCTACCTGAAGATCAGGGATGTGGCTGAAAGACAGCAGTAAGAAGGAGCCAAGGAGTAGCAGTAGAAAGGTTGCAGAAAGAGTCAGGAGCCCAGAGGAGGGGGCAAAGGAGGTGAGGGGGTGGGGGCAGAAAGGGGAGACGAAAGCAGATGACAGAACATTGCTAGAGAGCAGGAAAGGAGGTGAAAGGAGACAATTTTAGAGAAGAAAATTTTTCAGTCGCTACCCGGATTCGAACCCGGGATCTTTGAATGAGAGGCCAACACCTTAATCTCAAGGCCACAAGAGCCCCCCTCAGATGTTCTGTTGGGTTAAGGCTTGTTGATCTTACAGGCCAGTCCAGAACAATGATTTGATGAGTTTGGAAAGAGTTTTCACTTATCGTGGCCATCTGTGTTTGTGCGTGGTCTTGTTAGCACATTCCATCATCCGTGCCATGTAGAGCACTTGGGGGACGTTGGCTTTGTGAAATCTCTATTCTCTTCTTTTAAACACTTTTTCTCTTCCATCAATGTGACGAATCAAAAACCTTAACCCATTGCAGAATAAAATACTTTACCAACGTCTTTAGTTTCATTGCTAATGTTGTTGTGCCAAAATTTGGTGATTTCTTCAATGAAACAGGGTTAGAATGGCTCCACATAAAGGGCGATAATAACGTAATCCACGATCATATAAATGTATAATAATGGTGCTTTAATCCTATCCGTACGTTGTGTTTTACTATCGTATCTATACGACGTGGGGAACTCTGTGCCACCACTTTCAAGAGGAAATTTATTCGTTGATCTGATCCCTACGCTTTGCATAGTAGTCTGTCAAAATGAATTTTTTGAGAAATACTGAAAGTATCAAAGAGATCTTCATATTAGAATTATTCTAAAATGTGAAGAATACAACAGGGGGTACAAAATGACCCCAGGGCGTACGGATAGGGTTAAGATGGTCCGAAGTACCTGGCAGTCTCTGCACTTAGTTGGAACGGGTTTTGAACTTGGGAGTTGACAATAACTCAATTCTGACATCGAGTTATTGCCGTTGGTAAGCCATGTCTAGGCTTGTCTTGGACAAGTGGTGTTAAAACATTTGTTCAAGCGTTAGAAGGTCCTTCTGCACATATTTATGTGTCTTCCGACAGCAGAAAGCGTAATTAAAAGAATTTATCATAGATACACAGCGCCTTTATTTTCGGCAATCCGTTTAGTTATTTTGAAAACAGGTGAAAAAAAATGACCCAACTGTTAAAAAGTATGGAATTTTATAGTGTGTAAGGTGTGTTTACACATTGTCTACGTGATTCAAAGAAAATTTTGTACGCAGGAAGCATTGATTTCAAAGGAGACCGAGAGAAATAAATACCAACACTTTGTCCACGTACTACTTCCAGTTTATGATTTCGTTCGTCTTCTCTTGCACAAGGAGTCTCATAAGTCATACAAATCATACTTTCATTTTTGCTGCAATTCTAACGTTGTACCAAAAATTATCGAAATATAATGAGTGACAGAACTTTTGCAACTCAGTATATTTGCAAATCTGTTTTGAAAGTTCATTAAGTTTCTTTAGCATCAGCAAGTCTGTAAGGATTGCTCCATACCAGAAAACAGAGAATATGTATTTTCTGGCACCAAAAAACAACTTATGCACTTTGGCTCTAAAAAAAATGTACAAAACACATTTCTTATGTACTGGTTGGCACCTATGCTATCATATAAGTTCAGTTTAACAACTGAGAAAAGAATAAACAATTTTCTAGAATCAGATGAGAACATTGCAGAACACTGCTGTCAGGAGCTAGTAGCATAGAAAAAGTCAATTCACATACCTCCACCATGCTCCACATTTTTCTGTATACCAATACAAAGCTGGAGGCACAACTGGGTCTTGCCACTTGCACTTTCACCTGTCACTTCTGATATCGTGCCCGATGGCATGCCACCTGAGAAGAATTAACTCTTGTAGAAACTGTTCCAAGAAGACTCCCAGGGTAAAAGTACAAATTATAATAATGCTTGTGTGTATAATAGTACATGCATATGGGCAGTGCACCTCTTCAAAGAAAAATTCCTCCCTTTGAGTTTTTGTTCTTGAGCAGATATAATAATATTATATACCTCATGATGTCTCTCTTGTTTGCTAGTCTAAAGACAGCATTAATAATGAATTTAACTTTACATGAATACAAAATTCTGCTCACAATGACTTACTGATATAAAAAACAACAACTGAAACAATGGTTACTTGCAAGAGCAATAGGGTTTAAACCATATTCACCTCTAAATAGCTTGTCAATGCGCGGGCAATTCGTCGAGAGCTTCCATTGCTGTAATGATTTATCACGTGTTGTGTACAAATCTAAGGCTGAAAAGGAAAATTGTTTAAAATTAAAGTAAGCTAGAAATTATATAGGCCTATACAGAACATTATCCCGTTATCAAAATTTAATCAATCGAAAATCACATCTGCTTAAGTCATTTGCAACAAACTGAAAAGCCATTAAGTGAAAACAATCAAAGACAAATCTAAACAAACAATTCAATGTCAGCTTCTATTAAGGAGCTACGTACTGTTCAAACAAACATTATTTTGTGTCTACTTTCTAGATTGTTTCTTTACAAGCAGAGACTAAAATACTTTAAGTTGCTTACCAGTAAGGTGCCTTTTACTTGGAGCAAGACTCACAGCAATAGCATCTTTCACACTCTGAACTTCATCACTAGACAAACCTGTCATCAATTCAACCTCATGGTTGGACAATCTCATTATGCTGCCTTGGTCTGTAAGACGAGCTGAAAATAATCAATTAAACCATCATTCACTGATGCACATTATTTAATACTAATTATTACTGTCTGTTTTTGTGTGTGCGCTACTTAAATGCAAATTTAGTATTTAGCAATTTTTTTAAAAACCTGTGACGTAAAATTAATCATGAAATGTTAAAACAATGGTATTGTCCAATTCTTGTTATGTTGTTGTTGTTGTTACTGATCCAGCAACAGCTCTCGCCCTTCTGTCCAATGCCATGTAGTGATAAATGCAGGTTTGCTGCAGTTGTTGTTATGTTCCGTAGAGTGTGTTGTCAGTGTTATGTCTCGGAGGAAGAAGTGTAGCTCTGATGTCATTTAGGGCTGTACAGTGGAAAAGGTGCTGATCCACAGTCTCATATGCATAGTCACACAAAGGACACATTGGGGGAGGCTCTGGCTTTATTCTGTTCAAGTGAAAGTTGAGCTATGTTCTGTTCGTAGGCGAAAGATCGTGGTCTGTTTCTCTCTCTGTAGGTGGTTGATATTATCATTTTGTTTTGTTGTGGTCATATGTTTGAAAACTGCTCTGCCTGTCTTTCCTAAGGCCCATCTGTTCATCCAATCTTGTTTGCTGTTGCCTTTAATGATTTGTTTTGCAGTGTTGTATGAAGTTGGAGTGTTGGGCTGTTCCTGTCTAGATCAACTTTTGGTACGTGTGTCTTCTCTGTCATTTCCAGGTCTGTTTGCGCGTCCGGGAATCCACTGCATCACCAGGTTGACGCTACAGGATGTTATCAGGTGACGGGACCCAAACAGTATGTGTCAAGTCTTGGTTTAGATGATGGTCATTTTCTATCGCTTGCAAGACAGATAGTGGGTCAGTAAAAATCACAATACTCCGTATTTTGTTTGGATGAATGTCAAAAACTGTGCGGAGATGGTATAGTGCTGTTTCAATTGCCATCATTTCTGCATTGTAGCAGTTGCATTTTTCTCCACAGGCTGCAGAAATCTCATTGGAACTTCCATCTGGAATGCTAAGCCGTCTGTATAGATGTGTATCGAGTCATCTGAATAGCTGTCGATGTGATGTGATGCAAGCATCAGCGTTACTGGGTCTGAAGATTTTGTGCTATTGTCTCTGAGACATGTTGTTACGATTGGTTTTTCCAAAGAAATTTTGGGAGGAATGTTTCGGTTGACTCTTTTGGTCTCTCTTCTGTTTTGTGGTAGATGGTGACTCTCCACTAGTTCTGTGATGTGACGCATGACTGACTTTTGTTGAAGTTGTTTCTTTGGTTTCCATATTTCTACTAATTTCCTGTTTGGGTGGTTGGGGCACATTCTTTTGGTTCTTTCATGGAGCTCCAAAACTGCTTTATCTCTGCGGATTCCCAGGGGTTCAACACTTGAAAGAATTTCACATGCAGTAGTAGGTGTGGATTTCATGCCACCGTTTAAGAAACGAAGGGTACTATTTTGGACTTTATCAAGGATATTGCAAGTAGTTGTACTGCACATAGTGAGTAGGATATTGCTGTATTCCAGGGAAGATCGGACATACTCAAGGTATAGAGCTCTCAGAGTTTGTTTGTCTGATCCCTATGACCTGCTTGCGAGTTTTTAAAAAAAGTTGTAGTCTTCTTTTCGCTTTGTTCTTTATGCTCTCCACTTGGCTTTTCATGGTCAAGACTTTGGTCAAATTTGACTCCGAGGTATGTTGGTTGTTCTTCTTTAGGTAGATTTTCATTTCCTATCTTTAGTTGAGTTTTTCTTTGGCTGTTTTATGGCTCCTTGTGAAGATGGTGTATACTGTTTTCGTGCAGTTTATTTTGAGCTTCCATTTCTGACAGTAATTGTAGAGCCTCTTGAGGTTTTCATTTAGTTTCCCTGCTCCTACTACCATGCTGTGACGTGTCCGTCAGAGAGCAAGATCATCAGCGTAGAGAGTCTTTTCAGATTTTAGCACCTTCATTACATCATTGAAGAAGATCAGGAACAAAGTACAACTCAGACAGGAACCTTGGGGTAGGCCTTCTTTGAGTACCGGTATTTCTCTTGACGAGTAGGCATTGTTCACCATGGTTTAGATGTTTCAATCCGCTAAGAAAAACTTAATCCATTAAAAAAGTTTTGCGAGTATCCTGAGATCCATCATTTTCATGAGTAGGCCTTTTCTCCACACTCTGTCGTACGCCTGTCGGAGGTCTACAAAAATGGCAACAGTGTGTTTTGACTCCTGAAAACCATCCTGGATGTCTTGACTTTGTTTGAAAAGTTGGTCTTCTGATCTGTGTTGCTGCCTTTTCTGAAGCCTGCTTGGTGTGGGTTCAAGCTGTTGGAGTTCTCTAGGTACCAGTAAAGGGGATTGTTCACCATTCTTTCAGCAAGCTTACCAATATATGATGTTAGTGATATAGGTTGGTAGCTCTTTGCTTCTATAGGTGGTTTCCCCTTCTTTAGGAGCGGTACGATCTGAGCGATCCTCCATGCCTTTGGTATTCCACTCATTCTCCATGCGGTATTTACTAGGCGGCGTATAACGTCATTTCCTTTACTGCCAAGGTTGCACAGCATTTCGTTGTTATTTTGTCTGTTCCTGGGGCTTTCTTTTGCTTTAACTTTTTGAGGGTCTGTCCGAGTTCCATCATGCAGGATCAAAGCCCTCCTCAAAAAGGGTGTTGTTCACTGTAGTGGCTTTTTCTTTGTGCTTAGCCTTGTTTATGAGGAGTCTATCGGCCTCAGTTAGTCTTCTTGCCCTGTTTACTAAGGCGAAAAAAAAAGTTAAAAAGTTTAGCTTCCTTCTGGTCTTTTGTGATGGTGCTGCCTGAAAGGAAAAAAGGTTTCGGATGTGTTGGTATGAAAGAAGGCCCCTGATTGGTTGCATGCAATCGGGTAAGTGAATAATGGTACATGATGCAGGTGCAATGAATGGTTTCCGGGATTAGATAAAGTTCTTTGTGGGAGAAAAATGAGGGAAGCCACGTCTGTGGGGGCTGTTCACCCTGGAAGCAACCTCATTGAATCTGAGCTTGCTGATTTTAGTGTTTGTTGAATCCGGATCCGGATAATTTTAATTGATAAAGAAGAAAAAAACGAACGGGGAATACATTTCCTTTAGTTGAATCCGAGTTCTCGTTTAATCTGAGCTCGTTGAATCCAAGTTCCACTGCACTGTCAACTTTCTTTCTTTCTAGGTATTCTTGTCTGTCCACTGAAGGATGAGGCCCTCCAAGAACAACCTCGACTTCCACACTTTGTACCAGCTGCTCCGTTCTCCGTGTCCAAGTTGTACCCATCCATTTTCTGATGTCATCTTGCCACCTTCTTTCTGGTCTTTGTCTTGTTCTTTTATCCGGTTCTTGGTCCCCATTCCGCGCATTTTTTTACCCATCTGTTATCTTTCACTCAATCAATGTCACCAGCCCATTTCCATTTTTGTAAGGGTATAAATTTGGCTTGGGATAACTGCCACTCCTGTTTTCTCTCGTACTTTGTGTGTGAGCTTGATTTTTTGTGTATTCTCTTCTTCTTTGCATTTCCCTGTTACTGTTAGATCTCAGGGATATATTCGACAGCTGGTTCTTCAACCTACAGCCTACAGTGCAACTGATTTGTACGAGACCATTTCTCCTACGGCGTAAGGCCCCCTCGCTTTCAGGCAGCCATATTCAAAGGTACTCTACTTTAACTCTCTAATTCTATGACATGATTTTTATGCTGACAAGTGTACGCTATTTCTATAGGCCTATTTTACTATACTACAATCTCACCCTTTTTAAGTTTTTAGGCTAACCCATAAAAAGTCACTTGGTATTTCATACTCTTGGGGCCAAAACCGGAGATTGCCCATATTGTTATATGAGCATTATCGATTGAAGTGGCTAGCCCTACTTAAGTACGGCTAGCCTGCCAGTCTAGACATACTTAGGTCAGGCCCTATTGACCGAAACCTGTTGAGTACACAGGTCTCATTAGATCTTAGTAATAATCAGGTTTAAAATGATGCCTGTCAGTAAGGCACCTTTTAGTTTTGTCTGAAATACTAAAATACTTTAGGTATTGCAAACTAAAATTTTATTTTCATAATTTATCATTCAGCCATCATTATTAAGTAGGCCTATGGCTAGCCTGCCAGTCTAGCCGTCCTTAAGTACAGCTAGCCCAGCCAGTATTTTTTTTTACTTTCCCTCCCGTCTCACACTTAGCTACCAGTGGTCCATTTTCTACTAAATATTGATGCGCTGAACAGGAATATCAACTTCATTTCTGTCGCAAATGAATAGTTTTTGAAAGATCTGATAGTTCTGAATAGAGATAAACGTGCTTTGGACAAATCGGGGGGAGGGGCTCCAGGGGGGCCTGCCCCCGCGCTTTAACCCATAATTTGATATTTTACAGTTTTAGATTTGAAATTTTCTTGAAAATAATTGATTTGCAACAGTTTTAGATCTAGATTAGTGGCTTTCGATATTAGATATTATATCTATGTGTGATCTGCCGCAAACATTTCTGCAGTTTGACTCCCGAAGCAGTACATCTGTGTGGGGGAGTGAAAGTAAAAATTTACTGGGGGCTCCCCTGTTTTAACGCATAATTTGATATTTTACAGTTAGATTAAAAATTTTCTTGAAAATAATTGATTTGCGACAGTTTTAGTGGCTTTATGTGTGATCTGCAGCAAACAGTACTACTGCAGTTTGACCCCCGAAGTGGGCCGAAGCAGTGCATCTGTGTGCCGGAGCGAAAGTAAAAATTTGGCTGCCATTCGGGTGGGAATAACATTCTCTTATTCCCACTCCTCTGAGGGGACTTTAAAAATATTTTACCCACTCCCCGGGTGGAAATAAAATTTTCTCTTAAATCCCCCCGGAATATATAAAAATATTTTACTCACCCCCATCCCCTTTGTAACGACCAGAAAAAATTTAAAAGCTAAAAGTGACATTTTCCCCCTTAGCATGAGCACTCTAGTTTGAATGTGTTCAATATTTCCAGACCCAGCATTACATTGTAGAAGCATACTAGATCTTGATCTAGCACATAGATCTGCCAGTGGAAATATGTCTAATTCTCACACCAGGTTAAGAGGTCGGCCTTCAGCCTGTATTACATCTTATAAAACTAGATCCAGATAGATAGAGGAAAGATGAGAAGTGACCCAGCCCGGGTGGTAATATAACAAAAAGAATTATTCCCATCCCGGGTGGGAATACTCACTTCCTAAAAGTTTCGAAGTGACTATTTCTCTGAACGTTCGGGAAAATAAAGTTGTTCAACTCTATTTCTCCGAACGGTTTCAGATTTTGAGATTTTTTGGTCATTTGCGAGATTTAGGCGTCATCTTTTCATTCTGCCACTCTGCGAGGACTGGGAAGAAGCATTTTTTTCATCAAATTCAATTTTTAGAGCTAGAGATTTCTAAATGTCTGAATATTCAAATACTTCAGTAGTGGTTGGGGCCTCGTTCGTGGACTATACTATACTTCGTTTGAAAATACCTTCAAAAGGTAAGCCTACTGCGAGAAAACAAGACTGCTTGACATTGGCAGTAACCTATTTTGCATTTCGGAGTGGCTATTGGCCCACAGGGGCATATAAAATTTCCCCTAGAACATTTGTTATTTGCCCACATAAATTGTGAGTTATCTCCCCTGTGTTTGGCGCACGGAAATGAAGTTGATATTCGTGTTCTGCGCATCAATATTTAGTAGAAAATAGACAACTGGTAGCTGAGTGTGAGACGGGAGGGAAAGTAAAAAAAGATCTAAATCTAGATAGCCTATCTGTACACAGATCTAGACTAGATCTAGACTTGGCCCTCTAACGCAGAAAGAAGTCAAGCCTACCTTTCTTCAGGGCATGGACAACTGTCGAATCAAAATGAAGACATGAAATGTCCATTTTCGTACCGCCACCATTAGATTTTAGGCCTAAAAATCTATCTAGATTAGATCTAGAATCTAGATCTACAAGATCTAGACTAGATCTAGATCTAGATCTAGAATAGATCAAGAATCTAGATTCTACAACTTGTTCTGATCATAAAATTGCGCCACCCTGTTGTATTGGTCTGTTGATATAGATACACAAAAATAAAAAGCAGCGTAGCATTTATTACTGCTGGTACTATATTATTGCTATTACCTAATGTAGTAACTTCAAAGATCGTACTGCTAAATATTCGAATCTTTGGTACCGCGACAAACTACTAAGCTGTCAACAATAGTTCCGTGCATTAGGCCTAAGCACCAAACAATTCTTGGCTTACTAACATAATACATGTAGATTACAAAGGCTAGGATCATTATTACAAAGTATTGTACCAATACACTTTTTGTAAGTGTTTTACGGCGCTCGCAACTGCATAAGGTCATCATAAGAGCGGGTGTGACACGATAAACGTTTTCAGTTGGTAGGAAATTTTGAATTTTGCCCAGGTGGCTGCCGAAATCTACTTAAACTTAACTTACTACCCTTTACGCCATCTGGAGTTTAGGGCAGCAACAAAGGATCTCCAGCTCTGTCTGTTTTGGGCCATCTTGGTCAGCGTTCCTCACGAATGATTCCAGGACTTCATTTCAGACTCTACTGTGCGTCTCCAGGTCACTTTGGGTCTGCCCCTTTTGCGACGTCCTTCGGGTGTCCAGTGGAGGGCAGTCTTCACTATAGAGTCTGGCTCTCTTCTCAGAACATGTCCAGTCCATCTCTGCTTTCTCCTTTTTTATTATGGTTGTCATGTCCTCTTGCCTACATTTACATAACAGATCTGCGTTGGATATCTTGTCGGGCCAGAAGATTCTGAGGATTTGGCGTAAGCTGGTTGTATGAAAGGAAGATAGCTTGGCACGGTCATGATCAGTCATCCTCCAGCATTCAACGCCATATAGGAGTGTGGATAGTACACAGCTGTTATGCAGCTTTAACTTGGTTTGTATCCTAAACTGTCCTGACTTCCAGATGTTGATCATGCTTCTGCGTAGCCTACAGATCTTGCCTTGCCGAGTCTGTTCATGATGTCTTCCTTTGCGCCGCCGTCAGTTTTGATTATGCTGCCTAGGTAGGTAAATGTGTCTGTTATAGGCAGGTCTGTGTTGTTCACTCTAATCAACGTCGGGGAGCCTACATTCAGTGTCATTACTTCTGTCTTCCTCTGGCTTATTCTTAACCCAATCTGGCGTTCGTATTTGTGGAGCCAGTTTGTTTTTTCCTGCATGTGCTGGTTGGTATGGGAGCGTAGTGCAAGGTCGTCGGAAAAGTCAAGATCCTCGAGGGTGGAGAAGAGGGTCCACCTTATGCCTCTCGATGTATCCTCTGTTGTTTTCCTCATGACCCAGTCAATGGCCAGGTTGAACGGAATTGCTGACATGTTGCATCCTTGTTAACTCCTGTCTTTACCTCAAAAGCCGAAATAATATACTCTTAACTAGTATTCTATTTTGGACCACCAAGGGATCTTTATTGTGCGCAACATGCACACGGGAACTACCGGTACCAGATTTATCGCCCATATCCGAGAAGGCCAGATCGTACCTACCATAAGATTAAGATCAGGGGTGTGGCTAAAAGACAGCAGTAAGAAGAAGGAGCCAAGGAGTAGGAGTAGTAGTCAGTAGAAATTTACTAGAAAGGCTGCAGAAAGAGTCAGGAGCCCAGAAGAAGGGGCAAAGGAGGTTGGGGGGGGGGAGGGGGGCAGAAAGTGGAGACAAAAGCGGGCGACAGAACATTGTTAGAGAGCAGGAAAGGATGTGAAAAGAGAACGTTTTAGAGAGGAAAATTTCCGTCGCTATCCGGATTCGAACCCGTGACGTATTGAATGAGAGGGGAACACGCCTCCAGACCACGAGAACACACTCAATACACATTTTGACCAACACACACACACACACACACACACTATATATATATATATATATATATATATATATATATAGGGGCCTATAACATGCGATGTGATGTAGACTTTTACTTTCACATGATTTTAAAGAAATTGCTAGACTAAATAAACAAGCACTAGTAGAATCTATACTATGCATCAATCTATCGAAAGAAGAATTCATTCTAAAATTGCTAACAGATAGCCTACATTACTGCGGGTGTTTTAGGAGTTAATAGGAGAAGTATCAATATCTAGATAGTTCAACTTTCTAAAACAAAAGAAAACAAGTTTGTTATTTTAATGTGGGTGTTTTTATGCTCCCATCAATACAACTCTAGATCATTTATGAGGCGGGCTTCCGACTCTGTCTATCAGGGCCAACCCGGGCTGAGACAGGGAGAGAAATAACATCCCAGCAGAAAGACCAAAATACTCGATAAAAATGTTCTCCCCACTCGGGAATCGAACTAGGGTTTCCTGCCTGCGACAGCGATGCACATACCGCTACGTCGCAGACGCCTGAGTCATGCCATATTAAAGACCTACAAAAGACCACATAACCATATTATCTAAACACCGTTGTTGCCAGAGACTTCAATGGGCACTTACCACTTTGGAGATATCCAGACTATAACAACACCATAAAATACCTCGATGAGCTGAATGAAAAAAAAACAGCACATGAACATGTGTACGAACTTGGTAATAAAACAGGACTCCACAGGGTTCACAACACACAGATTCGACTTTACTACTTGACCGTGACCATTGTATCATCTGACCTTGACACTCCGTTACAGTGCAAGTCCTTGAAGACATCAGGAGTTTTCAGTCTTGAAAAAGGGGTTTTACTGGCACTTCCATTGACTTGCAATCATCAGAAGTGATCATAGACTGATCCTCATCATCATATCAGACACACAAGTTGGATCAAAACACTCAAGAACTCGTTGCAATTTCAAGAAAGCAAATCAGTCTAAATACACCAAAGACACACGAAAACAGGGTACTAGACCTAAAGTAAAAGTGGGGAGGTGAACAGACTGGATGAAGAACATTCACACCACAAAATGTCTTCAACAAAACTGCAGAAAGACATGTATCCTGAGAGGTGCTCAAAGAACTGTAAAAAAAGAGAGAAAAGGCCAAACCTATCATTGAACTATCAACATACGGCAATTGAATCATTCCCAATACAAGTAAAAACAAGAACTTCAACGTGCTTTAAAAAAGTTTGATGAACAAATTCACCAGGCCCCCGATAAAAAGCTCACACTCAAACACCCCCAACCGCGGGCTACGCTGGGAAAAAGACCACCCAAAAATTTGGAAGAATGCCTACACCACCCCCTTGTTCTGAAAAAGAGCAGGGATTCATAAAAAGATCCCCAAAGTTACTGTGCCGACTCGTATCTGACATCTTGCAGCTACAAAAGTTGGTGAGCACATGATTAACCGCAGACTTCACTATGGTGGCTGTGAAGAACAAACGGGCATCAGGAGAAGCCAGTAGCAGTTGAACAGAACAACTTTCAGCACATCATGTAAGCCCGTGCTGTGTCAAACTCAAAACCTGAGATAGACATCATGTACCAGGATGGCACCTACATCATGTCGACAGTATTTGTCGACCTACCCTACAACAAGCGTGTGATCGTGTCTGGAGAAAAGGACTAGATCTAGATCTAGATCTAAACTAAAAGATCGAAAAAAAATGGAAGGGATACATTACAAGGTAGAATGAACAAGTGGGTGAAATACTACGATCTTGTGTTAGAGAACAACCCAGACCAAAAATAATAGAGAACAGACGCTCGTCACAAGAAGTCTTTGACCATGGCCTCCCACAAATGTGGAGCCCCTTGGACTGTGGAGACAGAAAGCAGCTTTGGAATGTTTGAAGAGTAAGAGATTAGCCACACAATACCCTGCGAGAAATTAGTGGATAACTGGAAACCTAGAATCAGTTTGAAACATAAATCAATGCTGCACCACATCCCAAACCTGAAACTGAAAGAGAAATACCATCTACCAGAAAGAAGAACACCAATCTAAAAGATAAAAGCAAATTTTCAGCCCACCAACAAATCTGTCCTTCTGAAATAACACACATCTAAGTATTCTAAGACACAAAATCATCAACGAAAAGGGAGACCTTTATTGAACTGGAAAAAAAAGCTGCAGAGAACACAATCCTACACTATCCACAAGATTGGATCAATGTGTAACGTGTATCAATAGATCTGCGTATAAATTTCAAAGCCACTGTCAGCGATGGCTTTGGAAAATGTATTTGTTTCGATGATGGAGGTTCCTATTGGTCCTGTGAGTCTTCATATATATTTAAACTATAAATCATAGGAAATCAAGAAGCACTTAAACTCCATCTTCCGAAGACCTGACATCCACAATGAACATTCATATATATATATCAATATATTAAGGTTTTTTCCCCACCGACTCCACATTAGCCTTGCAAGCTATGGAGAACTATGAGACAGATCTTTGGGAAGTCCTCCACGGCGTTTGAACAGCTTACCACCTCTTTTCTCCTTTGCTGTAAAGCTTGTTCTACAGAGGATCTCAGAACACACAAACATTCACGGTAAAATCATAGACAGACTAGCCCCCCTCCCAAAAAGGATCTCACCTGGCACAACCAATCAAACCAATACCACTCAAAACAACAAAAACCATCATTAAAAATTTATGTTTAGAGGAACGGATGAACCGATGGGGAAGAGGTCTGACAGACAGACCAGTTTACAATTACATGAGAAAGGTGAAACGAACTGATAGCATGAAAACCCTCAACAGAAGGGAACAAACAGATTATATTCCATTTCCAAACACAACATTTTGTACCTCAAAACTATTACCAAAGCTGGGCAAAACCAGAAAAATCGCCAGTGTGCTTGCTTTGTGTCCACATCCACTAAAACAATCCTCCATCTGCTCTTTTACTTTTAATGTCTCAATCTACAGATATGTGAGCTGCGACGGCATCTTCTTCCTTTCACTCCTGCCACAGATTATAATACTTTATACTATGCTGCAGCAAAGTAGGCCTAAATTATGCTGAAGTTAAAAAACCTCCACCATTTTTTAAAACATGGCATTGGACTGAAAAGTACGCGCTCAAAGGCTACTGGATTAACAGCAACAAAATGGCAATGTGTTGAGAAGGAAGCAAAATCAGTAATATTTGCAATCTCATTTCCTTTTTAATTCTGTATTATTTATAAAGTACACACAAAACACAAAATCGTCTTTGTAACATTGGCTTGTGTGGTGTATTTGGTTGTTTTTTTGGTTGTGGCAGGGGGTTAGGCCTAGCCTATTGTATTGTTTGGCTGAAAGTTTGAGAGTGAGTAAAGTGTGAGTCTGTGTTCAGTTGTATTGTTTGCAAGTTGATAAAAGTCTGAGTTACTAGACTACTGGTGGGATTTTGAGAGGTGAGAGTTGTATCAAGGCAGAGGAGGCCTGCTGAAAGTATAGGTTGTGAAAAAGGCTAGTTAGAGCCTCGGTTTAGTTTTTCGTGAAGTGTGAGATTCCAATCCAACGTATCGGGGCCCCAAAGCTGCGGAAAGAATCACAACACAGAGCAGAGGAACAGGTTTGGCTAATTCCTGTTATAGTAGCATGTGACAGAAGGTTTGTAGTGTTAAATCTTTGTTTTGTGTTCCAAATAACAACAGCTTGAGTTTCACACCGCAAGAGTTCCACACTTTATATACAGAGTTGGAAATGGTAAAGTAAAGGTGGAACACTTTGCACCTTATCAGAGCTTCGAAACCTCCACAGCTTCCTTGTTACATCAACACCACTTTGTGACATTGACCAGCTTCATGTCAATTAAAGCAATACTTCTTTAAACTCTTACAAACTAGTCATATTAAAAAAAGAACAAAAACTCAGCATGCCAAACATAATAAGAAAGCACAAAGAAGAAAAATATAAACTCATTTTCAACTTTATTTGATTGTGTTTTTTTAATGGACTATGAATGTCAAAATATCAAGTCCATACAAATGCCCCACTATTTGACATGTTGACCAGTTGGTTTCACTACAATTCTGCTGTCATTTGGCGAGAGCATGATAGCTTCATACACTCTGATATAATAAAGGCTATCACCATTTTTTTCACACTTACAAAACACAACCAACATAAAGCATAAGCACTAAGAGATGTGTCTGTAGTAATAAAAAGAAAACTCACAAGCCGTCAAACGTTAGGTCAATGACATAGAATAAAAATGAAAGCCAAAAATACAAGGTAAAAAAACAAGAAATTTTCAAACAACTGGATGGCAAAACTTAATATGAAATATTCATATTACCAAAGGTCGACGACTGAAACTATTTCAAAGTCTGAATTTTCTTTTTATAAATGTAGGGGTTTTGCATTGCCATCTACACAATTTACATCATTTAGGAGGTAGGCTTCCAACTCTGCCTGTCGGGATCAACCTGGGCTGAGAGGGATACATGTTCCAGCAAAATGTTACATACTTGATATAAAATTTCTTCTTACTCAGGAATCGAACCTGGGTCTCCTGCGTGCTACAGCAAGGCGCCTTAACACTACACCACAGACACCAGTCCAAAATCTAATGCTCTTTGAATTTGAACAAATGCAAAAAAGAAAGCTAGAAATAAAACTTCTTCTTGTGATGATTCAAACTCATATATTCTTGTAGACAAACCCACTTTGGTTGTCTTAATGTCTTTATTCAATCACTAAACATCAACATAAGCTCACATCAGACAAAATACAGTATAAAACAACTAACTCAACAATACTTTTATTTCAAAGCAAACCAGTTGGAAGCAGCGGCCTACTTTTTTCATCCAACCATTGATAAAAGAAACCTTTGAAGTAGGCCTATATGATTCAGCTCTTCTTTCGACTCCACTTGAACTGGCATTTAAATTTATATATATATGTTCACCCCTACCCCAATCTCCCAGATCTGTACACATTAATAATGTCCAAAAATGGCACAAAGACAATGGACTTTCATCATTAGCACATGAGCAGTCTGTCATTTCACACATTTACTGATGTTCCATGGGACATATTATATGTGTCACAATGCTGTGGAATCAGGTGCTCATCAAATTTTGGGCACGTGGAGTTACTGGTATCATCTTAAAGCTTACTCATTTGTTTTGCTTTACATGAAAAAAATACGATTTTATCTTCAACAGAAGTCGAGATATTCGCGAATGATTGAGGTGGGGTTGCCTGGTTTCAGAGAGAAAATTAGCGAGAAAATGGCTCCAAAGTCTGGGACTTCCAAAGCTTAAGAGACCAAGGGAAACTACAAATTTACATTTTTGTGCCTTTAATCAACTTTCATCAGAAATTCCACACAGAAATGTGTTTTTAAAAGGACACAGAAATAGAAGGTGGTGAGTCCAAAAACAACAAAAAAAAGGATTAAAAAATGCCTAAGAGTCAGGCAGAAAAATGCTGGTTTCATTGATTTCATTGATTTCATTATTTTGACAATCACCTGATTTCCCCATAGTGCCTCACATATTTATTTTGCTATTGTATATACATCTAAATTATTTATGTAGGCTACAGAAAAACTATGACGTCCCGGTTTCATCTTCTGATCTCTTGCCAATGGTAATTTTGTGTCTAATTGCTTGACCTCCATATACAGAGACGATTCGTTCAGCTGAAAAAGATACAAACGATATTTTGTTAACATGTTAGTCTCAGTAAATTCGAGGTTGTATCTGACTTCAGACAAGATAGAGCTTCCAACTGTCAAACTCTTACAACTCAGGAGCACAAAAAGAAGTAGAAGGGAGCAAATTGATAAAGACAAACCCAAACTAAGTTCTTCTGTAGAAAAAAAAAGCAAGACGACGGACAGGAGCAACAAAAATGCAGGAAAATAGAAGTTTGAGGTAAATTTGAGCAAAGAGACACACTTCAACAAGATACAATGTAAGTGCCATCTAATGCAGGGAAAAGGCAAGATAGACAGATGGGAGCAACAAAGGGAAAGAAAAGACGTAGGACCTACCAGTGGCGCCCTCCAACCACCCTCAAAGCAGTAAGAGACTAACCAGCTGGCCATCTAAGTTAATCACATAAGACCCAACATTATTATAAAATCCAAACCAATACATAGTGCACAATGAGAACTTCATTCACTACAATTGAACACCCAAATTTCGAACTTGAGAGACTTGAAATTATGGTTATCTCAACCGGAGATATTCTTAAAAAGTCCAGGGGTTTTTTGGTGTATTTTTTACTCATAAAATCTTTTATTTATTTAATGCAAAAATCAGACCAAAGTATTACAAAAGAAAGAATATATATATATATATA